GTATTAGGAAAAATTCTTAAAGGTATGACAGCAGAACTGAATCCTAAAGGATAAGACAGGGCCAGCCAGGGAACGTGGAGTGGAGAGCCTCGCCCGGGGCTGCAGGCCACTTGCCTCTGCCCTCCATGGTCTCTGGGAGGGACCGTGAGGCTCATCTGTTTCTCCCCAGCCTGAGCCGCCTAGGCCTGATCTTGCTGCTGCTGCAGTACTCGACCGAGTTCCTCTTTCATATGGCCCGGCTCTTCTACTTTGCGGATGGAGAACAACGGAAGCTGTAAGTGGTAGAGCGGGGCTGGCTGGCCCGATGTGGGGAGCTGGGGTGGCGGGGAGGAGGCAGGAGCCTCCCCTGAGACCTGGCTGGTGGGAGGGCCCTTCCTTGGGTGTCAGCTGCCCCTTTATCTGTAGGCAGTGCCCCAAAGTTCTTTTTTTTCTGGGGCATTTTATTTTAGATACCTCATCCCTCCAGCACCCTATTCAGCCACACTTGAACCTTCTTCCCACTTTGGGTCGCTTCTCAAGTGAGTGAAGGTTCCCTCACTGACCCTAAAGGCTAATGTCCCTTTTTCACCTCCATGAGCAGATTTAACGCCTGGGCTGCTGTGTTTGGGGTCACCCGCCTCTTCATCCTCACTCTCGCCGTGCTGGCCATCGGCTTTGGACTTGCTCGCATGGAAAACCAGGCCTTTGACCCTGAGAAAGGGAACTTCAATACCTTACTTTGCAGGTGAGTTGGGCAGAAGCCTGTGGCAATAAACTCGGGCTCCCTGAGAGCTGCCAAGAGCCTCCTGAACTTGGCATAACTTCCACAGAAGATCAGGAGGCAGCAGACCCTTTAGTCTCCCACACATTGGTATTGAATTGGAAATCTCTGGACATTAGTCCTGAGGAGAGAAGAGCTGTCAGACTTCTGCTTCCATCAAAACCATTTTCACTTCCCAGCCCTGGCCCGCTCAGACTAGTCAGGGCCTCAGCCCACATGGGAATCCCTTACCCCGAGCACTTCATGGTGCACAGTAGGTTTCACATCCAGCTTCTCAGTGATTGTTACAGCTGAACTTGAACTCTTTGTGTCTGTGTTTTCAATAGCTTGGCTAGTGGCCTCCCGTAGCAGCAAGGAAGCCATTGTGTTTCCATGAGACCTTTAGGCCAGAGAGGGTTCTCATTTGTCCAGGGTTACTCAGATTTAAGTGGCTTGCAAATGAGAAGCCACTCTAGAATGATTTCTGCTATATCATAAAGCAAGTCACTTGAATTCTTCCAATATATATGGAGCTGACATGAGCTGTGGTCTGTGTTATGGGTACAAAAGGGACAGGCCATGGGTCCCAGCCAGGCATGGGGGCATCATGATTATGGAGCTTGAAAGGCATCTGTCATTCCCTCTTTCTTGGTCTTTCTAGCCTCTGTCCATCTGTCACCGCCCCTGTACTAGAGCACAGACTGGCACTGAGTGAACCCCGTGCTCTTCCAGGGTGGGGTGTGCGGGGGCCGAGTGTGACTGGCCATGGGAATGGCAGGGTTTCTGACCTGTTTCCTCCCCTGCGCTGGACTGTGGCCTGAGCCCCCTCTGAGCCCCCTGCTCTGCGCCTCTGCAGGCTCTGCGTGCTGCTGCTGGTGTGTGCTGCCCAGGCTTGGCTCATGTGGCGCTTCATCCACTCCCAGCTGCGGCACTGGCGGGAATACTGGAACGAGCAGAGTGCCAAGCGGAGAGTCCCAGCTGCCCCCAGACTACCAGCCAGGCTCATCAAGAGGGAATCTGGTGAGTGCCAAGGCCCGCGGGCAGGCAGCGGGGAATTCTGTCTTGGGCAAGAAGGAGCCAGGGCCCGGCTCCTTGGGCTCTACCCAGACCTGTCTTGCGGCTCTCCGTCTGTACTCCTTCCCCTGGGCCCGGGGCTCCTCAACTCCTGCCAGGACCTGACTGGCACGTGGCTGGGTGTGGGCCAGGGACGGGCCGTGGGTGGGGCTGGTCCTGACTAGGCCAGGAGCCCTTCTGGCAGTGGTGGGGCAGGGCAGTGGCTGGGCAGGGAACTCTGGCAGGAAGCGTGTCCTCAGGATGGCTTCTGGACCCCAGCCAAATTCTGTGCCTGTTCTCTAGGCTGCACGGCCACTCTGTCCTCACCTGCCCTCTGCTCTATATCGTAGTCCGCCCCCGCCTCCCAGGCTGCTGGCTCCTCTTCTGTCTCCAGGAATGACTCAAGATGGCACAGTGCTAGGTGGGCGGCGGGGGTGGGACACTCACTTCTCCTTTGCCCTCTCCCACATTTCACTAACCACCCACCCCTCCAGGTCCCAGGGCACTGCCAGCCCCGCACTTTCTGTCCAGCCTGGGGCTTGTCTATACCAGGATCTATTTTCTGACTCTCCTGCCTTTCTCCAGGTGTGGCCTGCTTGGCAAGGGCTCATGTGTATTAGAACCAGACACGTGCGCCGCAGGGTGTGATGATGAGCCACGCCTGGCTTGGGTGGGTATGGGGTGTGAGGCTGCGGCCAGATGTGCCTCTTTAATTTGGAGCAAGCACGTGTTTTTGACAACAATAAAACGATTTTTTTTAGTGCCAAGGGAGTGTCAGGCATGTGGGTAAGGCCTTGTCCCTACAGACTGCCCACGTCCTCCCTTCTGTCCTCAACTTCCCAGGAGTTGTTGCTGAAGTGTGTGGCTACCCTTCAGGGGGCCCGAGTGCAACAGAAGACACCGACAGCAGCTAAGTGGTTTCAGTAAGGGTCTGGCCCCCAGCCTCAGGCCTGGGGCGGGCAGGCCTCTGCCTGTTTCTGAGTTACTCTGTGTCATCCCAGCTCCCTCCTGCTTAAGGATCTTCAGCGATCAACTATCTCAAACAGAGCCACTGGCAGCAAGAGCCTGGGGAAAGCAGGAGCCCTCGGGGGCAGTCCGCTGGTTTTCGTTTGCTGTGGGAGGCTACAGCCCGGGGTCCCCTCAGTTCAATCTTGTGTGTAGCAGCTGGGCTGCCTGGGCCCTCAAACCCTTCCTTCTCCTGCTCTGGTACCAGCAAAAACATCATGTTTGTCTCCCTTCCCTTTCTAGGTTACCATGAAAATGGAGTGGTGAAAGCAGAGAATGGAACCTCCCCACGGACTAAGAAACTCAAGTCTCCTTAAGGCCAAAATGCTGAGAACAGGAATCTTCTTGTGGGGGCCGAGCAGGGCAGTGGGAGCCTCCATCACTGCCTCCCCCTTCCTGCTCGTGATGCTCCATCTCAGACAGCAGGAACCTGTCTTTAAACGGGGCTTTTCCTTTCTTCTTGGCTTTCTCTTTATTTTTCCATAAAGCATTCTCAATAAAACCAAAAATCTTCCTCTTTCTCTCCCTCAAGCCATCTCATGTCCTCACCTCTGTCCTGTGTTGGGTTTTCTAGAAGCCCAGGTTCTGGTTATCTTTCTGCTTGTCTCTTCTTCCTCTTCCTTCACGGCTGCTTTTTTCTATTTTTTACTTCTTTTACCGTATTGTGCAATTTTTCTGTCTTGATTTTTACAATGAGAGGGAGCTAAGATTGCAGTCCTGGCATCCAACACCCAGCATCAGTCCCCAGGACCTGTTAAAGTCCAGAAGCCCCGTGCCAAGGAGCTTCCGCCTGGGGCCAATAGCAGGCTCCCCGGTGGCCCCCGTGTGGATGAGCAAGAAGAGGAGAGACCTACCCCCTCGGATCATCATCTCCTAGGTGCTGATTAACTGACGAGATGTATGATTCCAGTTCTGCATGACTGTCTCGAGGCCCAGCTGCGCCACTGCTTGTTGTAGATGCCAAGGCGTTTGGCTTTGGGACCTGATGGCTCGGTCCAGAAGGACGGTGTTAACTGTGTTGGGTCCCATGACTCAAGACAGTTTGCCAGCGGCTGGTCTGGGACTGGAAACCAGCCTGCCCTTGCTCTGCCGTGGAAGTGCTGAAGGGAGGACAAGGCTTCCCACTCTAGAGCAAGAGCAAAATGTACTGAGCAGCAGGCTTCAGGAGAGGTAAGGGCGGCGGAAATGATGGAGTCGACCCAGGCCTCTCTTCAGCAGCCCCAGCTGCACTTCCTTTTTCAACCATTCACCAGCATTCAAAACCAAATCCGACCGCAGTTAACAGCCCAGCGGGCACTTGCTGGTCTGAAGTGCAGACCCAGGCAGCCCTGCGAGGGGCCAGCCTGCTGCCTGACTTCATCTCTAGCTGTAGTCACACCAAGCCCCCGCTGGCCCCTGGGGCCCCAGGGGCCCCAGGGAGGGTCACCTGGGCCACTCACCCTCGAGCTTTTCTTGTTGAGTGTTCTTTGGAATTGTCATTGTCATCTGCTGATGTTTGTTGAGTGCACCTACAACATTTTAGACAGTGCGAACCCAGGGCTGGCTGTTTAGACAAGCAGCACAGCTGTGCCGACGAGAGGCTTTCTGTCCTGTCCCTCATGTAGCCTTTCCTCTCCTCTCCCCGCAAAGACAAGGCCTCCCCGTCCTGATGGGGCCTTGTGAGGATTCCAGAGAAGAGTTAGGCTTTCAGAGGTCCTGAGAACCCCTGAACTCTGTGCTGCAGCGATGGGAGCAGTTCTTGGTGGGCATAGGAACGTCAATGTCATTTGATGTGCTGCTGTTCCGTTTTCTGACATCACAGTAGAAGCCAAACTTTGGCTTATTATCCAAAAAGGGGGGGTGAGTCTTTTCATCAAGGCAACTTCCCTTTCTCCATGTCACTTGTATCAGAAACCAATTTAAATTTTCTAGAGACCGAGGGATTTGTTTCCTATCACCACTGTAGACCTTCATCTCTGTTCTGGATAAGGTGGCTGAAATGGGAGGAACTACCCTTGGCTGCTTCTGATTCCCCTTAGGAAGTGGGACAGTGTTATTGAAAATAGGCGTTTCTCCCATCTTCTGACACTTCTGTGGGCTGCAAAGCAAACCTTGGTAAAAGGGTAGCTTGGCATCAACCCGACAGACCTGATGTGGAAACCCTTAGCCATTTCAGTCTGACAGCCCTGCCATGGCTGTAGTTGGGTTTGGCTCCCTACCTGGCCTGGTGACTGCTAATGGCAGGGCTGTTCAGCCAGCAGCCTCCTATACCTGCCCCATCGGCACAGCCACCACCCTGGTTTTCTCTGGGCCATGTCCTGGGTGTGTTCTTACGCCCTGCAAGAGGCTGCTTCCCCAGGTGAGCCCCGTTAAACTGTGGCATCATGCCTTCAGCAAATACATGCGGTGCGCTGCTGGCTGGGGAGGTGCTGAGCAGCAGCTCACATCCTGCCATCAAGCAGCCTCCATGTGCGTAGGTGTTTAGGTGTTCATTACCAGAGACCACACAGTTTCGTGTTCCCTAAGTCTCCTGTAGGCTCCAGCGTTGTGGTATAGTGTGCCTCAGAGGTGGTACTGCCAACCCAGGTTCTGTTTCCTAAAGAACAGCATTTGTTTAGTGACGGGAGTTAGATCTTTGTTGCTCTGTAGAACTCCCTGAGACCGTGAGTAAGGCTAACGTCTCACCAGCTGGGCTTCAGGAATGATAGGGGAAGGGGATGAGAGGGTAATTGTAGGATGCTCTATCACCCCACTGGCATCCGTGGCACATTTCTTTTAGAGCAGAGCCAAGTCTTTGGCAGGTTGGCTCAAAAACTGTGTTGCCAGGGGCCGAAATAACTCAATTCCACTTCATCCTGTGAGCTTGTTTGGGCTGGCGTGTCCTGATTTGGCCACTTTGTCTATTTTCTTCAGTTTTAAACGCTCTCTCCTGTTCCCAACATGCCAAGCCATCTGCGAAGGCCCTGTCAGACACCTCCAAGTTGAGAGGCCAGCCCAGCACCACCCACAGAGCAGGAGAACACATGCTAATCTACCTCAGCAACCGCTGCCTCTCTCAACATCTTAACTGGCACCAGTGTGTTGGGGGGAGGCAAGCAGATGGCAGTGGCAGGAGAGGGAGAAGGAGGCCCTATTGGCGGGACGGGAGCATCCTATGCTTCCGATTCCCCTTCGAGGTTCAGTGATGGGAAGGTCATTCTTACCATCCAGGCTCTGAGAGCTACACCATTAATAAATTACATGTGTTCCTTATGAAGGTAGGAGAAGGTTCTGGGGGTGGGGGGGGCAGGCTGAGCCAGAAGGAGAGCTGCTTTTCTCCCATTGTAGTCAATTCAGTTGGTTTTTCCTAGGCCTGAGAGAAAAACATAACTCCCCTGCCTAAGGGCCTCAGTGTCACAAGCAGATAGATGTCCATTCCTGATCTTCACAGGCTTCCATTTGCTCATGGAGTCTACAGAAGGCTTTTGAATTAGGACAACTGAGTGGTCTGTCTTCCCTCCTGCTGCCTTCCCAGCTCACAGCCCTGTTTGTCAGGAGGGACTTGGGGCGCAGCTGAAGAATTGAGTCATTGCCAGATCACTTGAAACCTAAATAGAATCCTTCTCCAGCCCATGGTTAGCCCAGTGAGGAAGCCTCTACTAACTTTTCACTCTTTACTCCGGTTCTCACATAAATATTAATTCTTCTTCCCAAAAGGCTGAAAAAGACCCCCCTCACCCCCTCAGCTGCCTCATGTCCCCTCACTCATTCTTTTTCTGGAGGTCTCAGAAAAGCATTGAGACTTTGAGACCTTCTGGCTCTATGCGGCCTCTTGTGCTCGGCAGCCCATGTGTTTGTCCCAAGCAGATCCTATTCTTGTTGAGTAAGAAGTGCCTTACTTGCCGTGTGGTCTTCCGGCCTTCACTTGTACTGTGTGGCCAGCCCCCCAGCTGCCAGGGCTCTAGGGTTGTCTGTCATGTGCAGCCGAGAACACTGGACCCCGGCACAGTTACATGTAAAAGAGACACGGATTGTGACAGTTTTGCCTCATTTGTCTCACCCTCCCACCTCCCAATTGTTAGGGTCTGTGGTGTGTTCTATTTTATTTCTGATTTCTCTCATGTCAGTTTTCTGGCCCACCTGTGTGGCTGCAGAAGACTGTGAGGGCCCAATGCAGGCACCTGTGCCTCATATATCTATTAGGGTAAGCTTAGAGGCCTCCAGGAGCACTAAGCCCCGCCGCCGTGCCTCTGGCCCAAACATTCTGAGACCTGCTCTTCCAGGCCCCCCACCCAGATTCTTAAAAAAAGGTACCCTTGCTATACCTCTTCTGATCTGTTTTGCTTCCCATTCAACCCAAAGTTTATATTATAAACGTGTTCATTTCCCAGTCACAAGTGTTAACTCATACCTGTTTGACAGTGAGTCTCATTCAGCTGTTGCAGAACTTCTTGGAACTCCTAATTCAGTGTTACCTTGTGTTAGCAGCAGCTCCCCTCTCCCCTGCCTCTTGCCTGCCTGCCTTTTCCTTGCTCTTCCGGGTTGTGCAATAACCCTCCCAGCCAGTGGTCTTTCCACAGGCCTTGCTGTCCCTTCTAATGCCCTAGGAAGAGGAGGCAACGGACCCATGGGAGGGGCGGTCGTCATCCCCTACAGAAGAAATGTTAGCCACTTTCCCTTTGTTGCTGTCATTCTAGTGATCCTGGGTGGGTTTCTGTGGCACTCTAGTAGAACATTGTAGCATCATCTTAGAAGTCCATATATTTTTTAAAAATCTTTTGAAAAGGAAAAAAAAAAAACTATCCTCATGATGGGGCATTAATAAGTCAGTGTCTGGGAATGAGATTTGTGACACCCGAGGCATCACCATCACTCTGCCTAAAAGCATTCTAGTTTCCTATTCACGTGGAGAGGAAGGAGTTTTCTGAGTATCAGCCACGTGCGGACAGCCTTATTCGTCTGATAGGATCTGGCTGTGATTATAAGTACCACCATGTCCTTGGGTACAGAGTCAAGTGTTTATGTGATGAGACTATAAACCTCATTTTTCAGTTCCTCTAACAAACATCTGAAGGATGAGCTGAGGCTGCTGGTGCCCTGAGCAACTCATAATGCAAATGTGGACAAAAGGTGTCTTTTTGTTTTTCTACTTTAGCCTGTTCATGTTATGGACCAAATTTCAACAAGGAACTCAAGGAAATTTGTACCTGCCGTATTTATGGTCATGTAAAAGTTTTTGTTGTTTTTTTTTTTTTTTTGGGGGGGGGGCTTTTTACTTTCAGTGAACTTTTTTGAAAATCCTTTTCCACTGTTTCTGTCTGGTTTGAAAACAAATTACAGTTTTGTATGGATTTTTTAAATGTACATTTTGAAATAAATGATCAGCGCATATTTTTGAAATAACTGAATAAAAGGCATAGAATTATCAGTTTAATTGTCTCTAGTATAATTCCTTATGTTCCTTTATCTGGATGTTTCTCAGTGAACTTTTTTGAAAATCCTTTTCCACTGTTTCTGTCTGGTTTGAAAACAAATTACAGTTTTGTATGGATTTTTTAAATGTACATTTTGAAATAAATGATCAGCAAATATTTTTGAAATAACTGAATAAAAGGCATAGAATTATCAGTTTAATTGTCTCTAGTATAATTCCTTATGTTCCTTTATCTGGATGTTTCCTTGAAAAATGAGTTGCATCAATTTTAGCCTAATTTCTAATAGTTTTCACAATATTAGTAATTTCTTATATATCTTTTGAGACATGTTTGTCAACTGTGCTCATGTGAATTAGGGATTTAGAATTAAGGAAGGAGAAAGAATAGTGAATGCTGGGTAGTAACAAGCATTTTTATTTGAGATTGTAACAGTAAAAGAATAAAAGTAGGAGTTTTCTTGACATAGGGTTTGTGGGTAGCAAGCTCCACAAGGAAGCACACTATGCCTAATGCCTACCATAGTAAAAATCCTTTGGCTAGGAGAAGATGGGATTCAGTTTGTGTGTAACAGCCACCAAATATTAGTGTTGGTACTGAATAGATGACCAAGTATTATTAATAACAGTGGGCTGATGTCAGGTAGATGGCCTTTTGCCTGCTGTTTTCTCTGTGTTTTCCATAACCATCTTTGGCGAGAGCCCAGATGAGTGTAATTACTCATACGCGGGTGCGAGCAAAACATTCAGGAGTCACTGACCCAAGTGACTTGATTCTTTGGCAACAACATTTAGAGACGTCTTCTCTACCAGTTGGTCCCAAATACCCTCAAACTCTGTAGATAGGAGTTTGATACACCCTACTTAAATGGTATTTTCAAGGCCCCCTGGTGGTACAGATAGAGCACGGACCTAGGGCCTGTGTAGTGATAATTCACGGCCAATCTTCACTCAAAGGCATATTTTACTACCCCTGAATCCATAAGCTACCCTAAACCATCTTATACACATCCTTAGATCTGATAGCCACAGCTACTAGTGTGCCTGTGTTACAAACAGTAACAGATGGCACTAATTCTTTCTGTCTCAGATCCCTGATGGCTCAATGAAAGGGTGGTTATTTCTTCTTCCCATAATATTGCTTGCTGCAGGCTGACTCTTCCATTACCTGAGCCAGGAATCCAGATGCATGCCAGGTATGACTGTGGCAAAAGGTAGCATAAGTGACATCTAATGGTTGAACTTCTATTCAGGATCTCAATAGGAAAACTAATCTGCTCTGACTTGCGTGGACCCTACACCCAACTGCCTTGTATAAACTAGCAGAGGTAAGCACTGAACACGGACATCACAGAAATGACCTGCTGGCTCTGGTCTTCTGTGAGGTAGCTTTTATACCTTGTGTTGGTGTTAGCAGGTCTCAACTTCAACATCTGGGGTAAACTTGGAAGGTGAGTAGAAAACAGCAAGGTTATGGCATATATGTGAATAGTGCCGACCTTATTCAAAGACAGTTCTGAGATACTTTTAACAGTTGCAGTGGGGCTGACATTTTAATCCCGGTCCCATTACAATAGAAAAGGTAGAGGAGAATAAAAGAAAAGATGTCAGAAGACTATGAGTACTCGGATCTCAAAGGGTGAGTAAGAGGATGTTAAATGAGACTTCTTCCTAATGTCTCCATTTTGGCTAAAGGACAAACTTTGGCAAGGATCTCCATGTGCTACAGATCAGTGTAACTCTGTGAAAGACTTGCTGAAGAGAAGCCCAAAGCCTTTGCAGACTTCTTCCATGGGAGGCAAGGGCGATGGAGAAATTATTGGGGGACATGGATTTCTCGAAATGGGCTATTGGGGGACTGTAGCTCCACAAGCTAAATGATGGCGGCACTTTAACAGACTCGGGCTTGACAGGTATCCCCTGGAATTGAAGAGCACAGTAATTGAGGTACCTGATTCTTACCTAAAACAGGTCTTGAGGAAAAGGACCAGCTGAGGTGCCTAACTGCACAGCCAAGAGAGTGATCTAGATGATAACAATGGGCAGCAGTGGACACACTTGGAGGGCGAGTCAGCCTGAAAGGGACCCCACGCGAGAGGATGCAGAGTCTGGAGGGAGTAGAGTGTTAGAGCCAGACAGCTGCAGACTGGGCCATCTGTATCTGAGATGATGTACTGGGAGGTTTCCTGTGAGAAAGTGTCCTAAGAACTCATAAAAAAAGGTGCCCTTGAGAGAGTAAAAAAAATGGCATAGATGACAGAGGCTTTGTTTATTCCTCTGGCGACCAAATCAAAGTTGTGATGGAAACGAGGAGAAGCAGCAAGGAAAATTGCAGTCGGCTGCAGACTGGGCCATCTGTATCTGAGATGGTGCACTGGGAGGTTTCCTGTGAGAAAGTGTCCTAAGAACTCATAAAAAAAGGTGCCCTTGAGAGAGTAAAAAAAATGGCATAGATGACAGAGGCTTTGTTTATTCCTCTGGCGACCAAATCAAAGTTGTGATGGAAACGAGGAGAAGCAGCAAGGAAAATTCGCCTGGGATCTAGATGAACAAGCCATACAACTAGAAAGAAATCCAGGAAATCACCCTGCAACAGCAGAAGGTAGGATGAAGCAAGGACGCGGGGTTGCCAGGTCTCAAGTGGCTGAGATGGAGGCTGCAGCAGTAGCAGATGCCTCTTAAAGGCGCCGCATCTGCGAATGGATTTTTGAGTGATGGACCTGCGCTTGGAGCACCAGTGCCAATTCGGCTGTGCGCAGGGGGCACCAGAGACTTACAGGGAGACACTGTCAGAGTGAGGGCCGAGGAGAGATTCGCTCCGTACAGAAGTGCCAGCGGTGTTCATTGTTCCCTGTTGAGCCTTCTCTCCTCCTAGTGCGCCAGACACAGCTCTGCTTTAATAGAGACATCATCAAACTGGATAACAGAGGTCGCTCCACCCAGAGGATTCCCTGAAACCCCGCCTCCCCCAACTCACAGCTCCCCCAAGCCACATCCAGGTATATCCTCAGCTAGTCAGGTGCTCCTTGCTGAGCAGCGCCTAGACTCACACTGGAGGCAGCTGGCCTCAGTTTCTGGTGTGGCCTTTTGAGGCA